ATTAAAGGAGGATTTTTTCCTTTTTGCTTGTGACTTGAGGACATTTTTAGGATTTTTTATTTTATTTTTTATCTATTAACCTTGACAGAGGCTCCTGTGGCGGTTAATGACCTCCAGCCAGTTTCTGCACAGATATGCGAGGTTTTAAAGATGGAAGCACGTTTTTAATGACATTAATGATGCATTGAATTAACAAGACTTCATAAAAACTCATATTTCACTTGTTTTGATGTAAAATTAACAGTAGACTCACATTTTCAGACACAAACTCATGTTTCACATCCAGACATGATGAACAAATGACAAAACATAAATTATATATATTATAGATTGGATGCTACAACTAAAAATATCACTGTTATTTATTTTATTTTATTATTGTTATTTTTAGATTTTTCCTGTCTTGGTAAATTACAGATAAGGAATTGGAAATCACACTGCAAAATAATAATTATAATAATTCATTAAAATAATTTCCACGTGATAAAATCTGTGTTTTGACGGTAAACGTAGAAAAAAAAAATTACTGCATTTAATTCAGCAATAATAATAATAATAATCCACTAAAATATATTTATTTTATTCAACCAATGACTGTAAAATTAATTTTTACTTTTTATTTATTTTACATAAATGATATAATAAAATCCAGCTGATATTAAACAGACTGATGCCGTGTTCTGTCTGATTATTTGCATTCTGGCAACATTCGACCATTTTTCTTGGTTATTTCTTCGTATTTCCAGCCTTATGTAAACCTTAAAACAACAAACACACACATGATCTGCCAGAAACTGACATTTATTAAAGGAAAATTAGTTTTTTTAAATAATAATTTAGCTTCACAGCCTCTTCCTCCGCGGTGTTGTTGTCCGCTGAGCTGCATCGGCGGGTCAAGCTGAGACGTTTTAAGCAGATTGATGCTGAGTGTTTACATGAACGTGGGCGTTTCCTCGGCGACCCAGATTCTGTCTCCGACTGTAAGCGTTACGTAAGCGGGACATCTGGACGTGTGGACCGGGTGCTCTGCTTCACTAGAGTCCATGAAGATGTGCTCATAAAGACGTCCGTGAAGTCTTCTGCTGCTCGTGACCTTTTCAGCTTAAAGCCAGAAACCAGCTGACGTGTCGTCCTGGTGAATGTAAATCCAGTGTTGGTTGCTGGTTGTGTTGCTCTGTTTTCATGATGTTCTGTCCTCGGGGGGATTTTCTGGCTTTTCCATCCAGATGAGACTCTGTATGTAAATATAAGGAGTGTATCGTACACGCCGTATGTAATCCCTGCATCTGTCTGCCTTTATGTTGATGCTCATCTGGTTCACTCACATCACCTCCAGCTGCTTCTATTTATACGGTGATGCAGCTCTTTGCTGTTTATATCTACGTTTAAAGCTGTTGCACTGGATGTTTTTACTACTGATCGGGCGCTG